CAGGGTTGTAATTCTGGCTGGATAATCAATCTACCTTTTCATTTGTCAGTTACACCTTTTCAAAAGTGCTTTTTAAGATGTAGTGTTGAGCATCGACAAGAGCTACTTTCCCTGCCTGTAGTGTCATATCTTTGCAATATTGTACTGTGTTTGATTCGCTGTCCAGAGTTGTAATTCTTGCTGGATAATCAATGTACATTTTCACTTGTCAGATACTCATTTTCGAAAGTGCGTTATAAATTGTAGTTTTGAGCATCGACAAGAACTACTTGCCCTGCCTGTAGTGTCATATCTTTGCAATATTACACTGTTTGATTCGCTGTCCAGAGTTGTAATTCTGGCTGGATAATCAATCTACATTTTCATTTGTCAGGTACACCTTTTCAAAAGTGCTTTTTAAAATGTAGTGTTGAGCATTGACAAGAACTACCTGCCCTGCCTGTAGTGTCATATTTTTGCAATTTTGTACTGTTTGATTCGCCGTCCAGGGTTGTAATTCTGGCTGGATAATCAATCTACCTTTTCATTTGTCAGTTACACCTTTTCAAAAGTGCTTTTTAAGATGTAGTGTTGAGTATCGACAAGAGCTACTTGCCCTGCATGTAGTGTCATATCTTTGCAATTTTGTACTGTGTTTGATTCGCTGTCCAGAGTTGTAATTCTGGCTGGATGATCAATCTACATTTTCACTTGTCAGTTACACCTTTTCAAAAGTGTTTTTTAAAATGTAGTGTTGAGCATCGACAAGAGCTACTTGCCCTGCCTGTAGTGTCATATCTTTGCAATATTGTACTGTGTTTGATTCGCTGTCCAGAGTTGTAATCCTGGCTGGATAATCAATCTACATTTTCACTTGTCAGTTACAGATTTTCGAAAGTGCTGTTCAAATTGTAGAGTTGAGCATCGACAATAATTATTTGCCTTGCCTCAAGTGTCATATCGTTGCAATATCATACTGTGTTTGATTCGCAGTCCAAGGTTTTAATTCTGGCTGGATAATCAATTACAATTTTACCTCTTGTCAGCAACCCATTTTTGCGTTGATAACGTAGAGTTTGAGCATTGATAAGAACTTCTTGCGTTGCCTAAGTGTTATCTCTTGGCAAAGTATACTGTGTTTGATTCGCTGTACAAGATTTTAATTCTGTCTGGATAATCAGTCTACAATTTCAATCCTCAGTTACACATTTACGAAGGTGCTTTTTATTATATAGAGTGTGAGAATCGACAATAACTACTTGAGTTGCCTATACTTTCCTATCATTGCAGGATGGTTGTGTTTGATTAGCTGAACAGTATTGTAATTCTGTCCGGATAATCAATTCACATTTTCACGTCTTGTCAGTTACACATTTTTGAGGGTGTTTTTAAAAGTATAGAGTTTGAGCATCGACAAGAGCTACCTGCGTTGCCTGTAGTGTCATATCTTTGCAAGATGGCTATGTTTGATTCGCTGTCCATGGTTGTAATTCTGGCTGGATAATCAATCTACATTTCACTTGTTAGTTACACATTTTTGAAAGTGCTTTTTAAAATGCAGTTTTGAGCATCGACATGAACTACTTGCCCTGCCTGTAGTGTCATATCTTTGCAATTTCATACTGTGTTTGATTCTCTGTCCAGAGTTGTAATTCTGATTTGATAATCAATCTACAATTCACTTGTCAGTTACACCTTTTCAAAAGTGCTTTTTAAAATGTAATGTTGAGCATCGGCAAGAGCTACTTGCCTTGCCGGTAGTGTCATATCTTTGCAATATTATACTTTATTTGATTCGTTGTCCAAGGTTATAATTCTGGCTGTATAATCAATCTACAATTTTACCTCTTGTCAGTAACACATTCTTGCAAAGTTTTTTTTCGATAACGTAGCGTTTGAGCATTGACAAGAACTTCTTGCGTTGCCTTAAGTGTCATCTCTTTGCAACGTATACGCTGTTTGATTCGCTGTACAGGATTTCAATTCCGTCTGGATGATCAATTTACAGTTTCAATGGTCAGTTACACGTTTTCGAAGGTGCTTTTTTTATGTAGAGTTTGAGCATCGATAAGAGCTACCTGCGTTGCCTGTAGTGTCATATTTTTGCAAGATGGTTGTATTTGGTTTGCTGTCCAGGGCTGTAATTCTAGCTGGATAATCAATTTACATTTTCACTTGTCAGTTACACATTTTCGAAAGTGCGTTATAAATTGTAGTTTTGAGCATCGACAAGAACTAATTGCCCTGCCTGTAGTGTCATATCTTTGCAATATTACACTGTTTGATTCGCTGTCCAGAGTTGTAATTCTGGCTGGATAATCAATCTACATTTTCATTTGTCAGTTACACCTTTTCAAAAGTGCTTTTTAAAATGTAGTGTTGAGCATTGACAAGAACTACTTGCCCTGCCTGTAGTGTCATATCTTTGCAATATTACACTGTGTTTGATTCGCTATCCAGAGTTGTAATTCTGGCTGGATAATCAATCAACTTTTTCTGTTGTCAGTTACACTTTTTCGAAAGTTCTTTTGAATATGTAGAGTTTAATTTGTTCAAGTTTTTTTGTCATCTATGGTTTTCATTTACTTTTGTTTTCTGCTTTGACCATAACTTTCTAAAAGGTTTAATTGCCGATCGTAGATTTGGTAGTTTTGTATGCTTTAAGCGAAAGATCTGAGTTAATAAGTTTTTTTTTTCAGGTTATCTGTTCAGAGGTATGCATCAGAAGGTTCAAGTGTCGCGAATAACCCATTTGTGCAGAAACTTGGTGGTCTAAAGTGCTTTTCAAAATTAAATATAGAAGCTGCAATATCGTTGTCTGAGTTAATTTAAAGAATTTGTTTTGTTGCTGCGTTTTCTTCACTGAACCGAGTATTTTCAAGCTGTTAAATCGATCTAGTGTGATTTGTCAATACACTGAAGAGTTGTTTTGAACTAATTTCTGATGCTGGCGAACTTCAAGGTAATGTATTTCAAATCCTGAGTAGCAAAAGGGATGTACCCTTGGTTGGAAACCAGATTTCACTATCATTTTTTAAAATAGCGTGTTTTATATTTTGTGACTGCTTATGTAACGCTAGTGGTGACAAGGCCTTCGGTTGAGGGAGGTTGTTAGTAGGGTACCGCACTGGGGGTCGATTTTCTTTGTCTTCTTCCTAAGGAGAGGGTGGGGTTACCTCTGTGCCTCCTTCTGGGGAAGGGGGGGCGTACCGCCTTCTATTATCTACCATAAATGATTACTTAAAATGCGGGAATAATCATTGTCACGATATTAACTTTAAATTGTCGGAATATTTGTTCATCAGATTGTTCAATCATGAACAGGTGGTTTGATGCGATAACGCACCGCATTTTTCAGGTTGTCTGTATTTCGAAATGTTGGTGCTTGCTTTAAATTACAAGCGCAGTAGCGTGCCGAGGGGGAGGGCGGCGGCGACCGCCACACCTCACCCCTCAATTCTTGAGCACAATTTTTCTCATCAAAGGGTCCCCCCTTTGGGTACATTTTAACTATATACATTTTGTGAGAACCAAGTCTAATTTTTTCCCCAAGCGCCTTCGGTAACTTAAAACTCTCTAATTTTAAAGCTCAAATTCACACTCAATTTGAGGTCTCAAATGTTGAACGCATTTTGATTCCTCAATTTGCGGGGTTATATGTTTCACTTTCACACCTAAACTTTTCGCACCTGTAATTGCACAGTCGGATAACACCAGTCAAAATGGTGCGTATCCATAGGTTTCAAAATGAAAAATCAGTCCCATAGGTTCCAAAATAAAAAAGCAGTCGCATTAGTTCCAAATCTTTTCTATTGGTCAAAAGACTAAATTAGCCGAGTCTCGGTTTAAGGTCGCCGGTGGGCGCGCTACGCGCGCGTCGCCGCTTCGCGGCGATAACCGGCTCTAAATTTCGTATAGAGTCCTACCCTTTGGTGGCAAGCTCGCAACACGTTGGCGCGGCTGCGGCGGTCACTATTCTGCAGCTTGAGTTTATGCTGGTTGAACAGTAAACAATCAATCCACAAATTCGTTGGCTCAAATTTCAACCAATCAGAATTCAAGAAGATAAATTTTGGAACTTATGCGACTGATTTTTTATTTTGGAACCTATGAATATTGGAACCTATGGGAATTCACCGTCAAAATTTACTATATAAGCAACCCAAATTTTATCCGGACAAAACGAACAAAACTTGAATTTTCAAACGCGTTTTTCTCAAATTGGGTTAAGATTAGACAAAAAGTGAAGAGAACAAAAGCTGCTTAGAATTTCATCAAAATTAATATGGTGCTATTTTTTCTCCGAAATTCTCAACTGAAATTTTACCCCAAAAATGGGCCATTTTGGCTTTTTTCAATTAATCAAGAATTACACTGAAACTACTTTGTTAATTGATGAAACAATTACCTTACAAGAAGCCTCCTACATAGCCCAACAATGTTTAAGAAGGGTTAAATCTCCAAAAACCAGTATAAGAGGAAAACTTTTTACTTGATAGTCAATAAATGTGATTTTTACTAAATAAAACCCAGAATATCTGTTTAAAAACAAATTTCAAACAATTTGCGCAAACTTTTGGAGATTTAACCCTTCTTAAACCTTGTTGGGCTATGTAGGAGGCTTCTTGTAAGGTAATTGTTTCATCAATTAACAAAGTAGTTTCAGTGTAATTCTTGATTAATTGAAAAAAGCCAAAATGACCCATTTTTGGGGTAAAATTTCAGTTGAGAATTTCGGAGAAAAAATAGCACCATATTAATTTTGATGAAATTCTAAGCAACTTCTGTTCTGTTCACTTTTTGTCTAATCTTAACTCAATTTGAGAAAAACGCGTTTGAAAATTCAAGTTTTGTTCGTTTTGTCCGGATAATTTAAATCAGCACTGTACCCTCCGTATTGTCATTATAACTCCCTTATATCGATACTAGAATGTCAAAACGACCATTAAAATCCTGCTTCTTTTCCTTCTTCATCAAAATCCTGATTAAAACCTCAGAAGACGATGTGATCATTCTTTCAGAAGAAAGCAAAAACTCCCACTTCGTAACCCGACCCGGCACCTGACTACAGAGCAAAGGGGCCCTCTCTGTCCCATTTCTAGACTGACTGCTGAACTGGAATCATGAGCCAAATTCGAGCCAGGACATCAATATTCTAGCAACACGGGTGTTGCCGACGATGAGCTTCCTTCTCTGCTGGCGTCCTTCGTTTCAATATGAGATGTCACACTTTCCTCACTGGCTTCTGGGAGCAGCACCGCACCATCTCCGACAATAATGAACTACATCGACGTGGGTTGCTTCCGCTTGAATAAGCCTGACATACCAACAAAAGAAAAACTCCAGCTTCTTTAGGGTGCTAATCAGTCACCGCTTCCAGTCAACAGAAAGGAATGGCCATTTAAGAAAAAACTTAGCAACAGCAAGGTCGAGCGAAGATTCCTGGAGCCAGAGCAGTTCCAGAAGTTCCCATGGCTAGTCTACTCATCTTCTAAAGCCAGCCTATACTTTAAATATTTGCCGACTTGGATCAAATCCGATCTTCTGGGCGAACAGCATCAGTTCAAGAGGTCAAATTATGCTGCAACAACTTCGCCCGTCTCCTTGGAACTGGCTTCTAATTGGTCAATCACGAAAATCCAGGTACCATCGGACGTCTTGGTCCAAAGCAACTGACTACTTGCGACTTCAGCAGCAGCCATCGGCAGCTTTTTGCACAAGACAATTTCGCAGCGAACTGAGAAAAACCGACTGGCTCTTCGATCTATTATCAGTACCTTCGTTTTTTGCTGCCCTACTAGGCCTGGCTGTTCGTCGACGGAGCTACCAGCATCAGCAGAAGACATTGATGTCAGCATTGGAAACTTCAAAGCGCTTCTTCAACTCCCAGCATCAAGTAAGGATAAAGAACTTGACCGACATCTGGAAACGAGCATACGCAATGCATCATAAAAACTCAGAGAACGAGCTGAACAACATTGCTGGAGGGCTCGTTGTGGAACGAATTGTCGGCCGAGCCAAGGAAGCGCGGTACTTCACAATTATTGATGAGACCACTGACGTTTTCAAGTGATATGCAGAGAGCAGTTTTGTGGAAGCTGATATTGGACAGACTGGCTGAGGTTGGACTTGACTGCGTTTACCTAGTGGGTCAAAGCTACGATGGAGCAACAACAATGTCCGGCATCAGAGGAGCTAGGTCTAGTTGAGCTTGAGTACAGACGAAAACACATTAAAACGGTCAGCCGAAGGCTATTATCTACAAGAACTTTATTTGCCGTTTCTTGACTTCCTTATATCAGATTTGAAGGAGCGACTTGCTGATGCAACCCTAAAAGTGGTGTCTCATTTAACTTCTTCCTGCATACACGAACTCAGTTGATGTGAAGGATTATGAACAAATCATAGCCTTTTTTCCGAAATTGTTCCGGACGCAAACTTTGAATCTGAGCTTGAGGCTTGAGGAAACACATGTTCCGGACGCAAACGGCTCCATCAACTTTCAAAGAAACCTTAGGTCATTGCTCAAAGACACTAATGCCCACGGTGACCGCACTGATGAAAATTTTTGCCATCTTGACGTTCACTATCTGCACGGTCGGACGATCTTTTTCTGCGATTAAACTTCTAAATTATACTTAAGATCAACCTTGCGCGAAGACCGACTATCATCGCTAGCTCTTTTGTATATCCATAAAAAAGAAATCCTGTCGTATATGAAATCATCAAAAGATTCGGCTTCAAAAACCGACGTACAGTTTTTAGAAATTGTTCGTAGCGCACGAAAATCGCTGACTCATTACTTTCTGTGTAATTTGTTTATTTATTTTTTTTTAAATTCAATAAAACCGGCCTAAAAACTTAAGCGCACGCCACTGTACAAACGACATCAGCATTGTACGGTTAGCGCTTTGCATTTCGGAATTTTTTTTTTCTATGTCAATTAATGTGTAATATGAGTTAAATGAATCGGCTGTTAAAGCGTTCGTCTGTGGAGTTTAGTGCTGGTTTAAATTATCAGGGGAAAGTGAATAGAACTTGAATTTTAAAATGCATTTCTATCAAGTTGGGTTGATTTTAGACTAAAATTGATTCAAGAGTAATCTTGCTCCAACTTTAAGCAGAATTTTTATGGTGCAATTTGTTTTGCCTAATTCTGGATTTTTAATTTTCAATTTCTCAGAAACTTCTATTGAATTCTAAAAAGGGGTATCAATTGAAAGACCGCCTACTTCCCTCTATGTATGTATAATCTCTTTTTACTTGAGCCATTTTACTTGACCCCTCTGTCTTTAGCCTTCGAAAAAGTCTGTGGGATTATTTGAATAATACCCCTCTCAGATCTGAGTTTTCGGTTTCAATGAATAGAACGGTTTTGAAAAGCTCCCTGTATGAGCGCCTATGCCCAGATGTTTTACACAAAGTTATGGCCCTCGGAATAGTCAAATTTTTGACCGTTTATTTGACTTTTTTGAGTTTTCGTGAAAACTAACCTGCTATATTTGAGATTTTTGGTTCAATTCAAAGAACGGGTTGTGGGACGCTCATTTGGTTATGCGACTGCTCCCAAATTTTTCTGAAACCAAAAGTTATGGCCATCGGAATTGTCAAAATTTTCATTTTTTTTGTTTTTGACCTTTCTCAAGAACTACACTTCCAAATCTGAGATTCTCAAGAACTACACTTCCAAATCTGCGGCGACTCCTTAGTTTTGTGCAAGAGAAATGTTATTTGTTTGGGAAAATTGATTATTTCCAAAGTTTGATACTCTTCTCACTTATTTAAGTAGAGAAACAACAAAGATTTTGGGCATCTCATTTTTTGTGCCGCATCAGTATAGCAAGTTCATTCAATATCAAAGTTTCTCCCCCAGAGTAAGTGGGGCCCCTAGTTGTTTTTAAATCTAGATATACGAAGTTTTGGTTCACCTTGTTTTTTTAACATTTATTTTTTTTCGATACTTTTTTTCATGTTCGTGTTGCATCGCAAGTGATGCGAAGCTCCGCTTCACCTGTGTTAAAACTTTTACGCTCAACTTTGTGATTTAATGCTCAGGGTCGACTGATGATTTTTTAATGTTTGTTTTTTTTTTTCAAATCCATCTGCCATAAGGAAGGCAAGTTACGCTTTCCAATCACAAAACAGCAAATGGCGCGATAAAACCTTTAGTTTTGAAAGTGGATTTTTAGTTTTATCAGCAGATCCTATTTATCCAGTTTTATCCAAAGGGGTTTGTTTTATCGAAAGATTTCAATCATTGAAGGCTCTTGAATATCAAAGACTTTGAAAATGCTTTAAAAATAAATAGTCGTCATCCGTTTTGTCGATTGTATTGACACTTTTGAAACTGCATGTTAGCTATACTTTTACGCTGGCAATTGTGTTCCTGCTATTTTATCATCAAAATGAAATTACTTCTGTTTACAAAAAAAATGGTAGATGTTTCGACATTCTCTATGTACTAGCTTTCTAATTGTTTCTCTCCGCTTATGATGGATGTATCGTTAGTAGTTTTGACAGTAAATTTTACTTTTTAGATTTCTCAGCGTATCAGAAAATTTAGCTTTTCACCCATTTTTTTTCTTATTGGTTTAGTGTTATGAAATCATAAAAGATTCTTGAAATTGAAAGAGCTTTTAATATCGTGATTTATTTTATTTTCTTTTAAAATTGAAAACTCTTCAAAGAATTCTTTTTTATTTCGGTTTTCTCCTTGACTATTTTTCGAGTTTTTGGTAGCTATGATCTCAATTTACATTCGCCATGTGCAGCTTCGCCTCTGTGTTAATTTTTTATACAAAAATTTAGTTCATCTTCCGATAAATAATATTGATAGTTCATTTTTCTATTTTGTAATTTGAATTCTTATTTTTAATTTCATGTGAGAATTAATTTGTTTGACTTCCCATTGGAATAAAAAAATCAGTTGTTCAGATGTCGAAATGGGTTAGTTTTATCTTCAAAAAATAACCGTCAAATGTATTGAAATCAATTTAATCGTTGAAATTATGCTTATTTTGATTTTTTGTGATTAAATTGCAACTTTTCAACTATTGGCGAGTCCCTCAGATTGCGGGTCCATCAACACATTACGTGTGTGTTAATCGAACCACGGTTTTTGCTGAAATTGTTATTTCGCGTTATTAGGTTTGTTTTATATCGGCATAGTTGCTTCATATTGTGTCGTTTCAGCGAAAAAGTGCTTAAGCATGTGTTGTTCGGGAACTTTTTTCCTGTTGATAACTTGGTTCACAAAATGGTCAAAATGAGAAATGGTAAATGTAGGTTCAGTTCATAATGAATTCAAATTTTTTTCCGTCTCCGGCACGCGTGGGACGGCAAAGGTCTTGGGTTCGAATTTGACAGAACCTACTTTTTTTCAAACGGGAAATATTCTGTTTCAAAAAGAAGAAAATAATTGGCTTGTTTTGTCGGCTTAGCTGCCACATCGATGAATTGTTTTTCTTTTGCTGTACGCAAGTTACTTTGTATTTGTGCTTCTAGCGTTTTGATTGAATTCATCTGCTTGATATTATTAACCTTGCCTTTACATATTTTTTTGTATATTTTCATTTTCTGAATGGTTTCGGCTGATATTTTATCGGCTTAGTGGCCTAATTTTGAGTCATTTCAAGAAAAGTAATTTTCATGCTCACCTGGATTACATAAAAATTTCAGATATAAATTGATTTTTTGTCGGTTTTATGATTTTGTCCCAATCATTGTCGGCTTACTGGCCGGGTGCTTTGTTTCTGTAGTTTTCAAGATAGATTTCCAAGTATTTTTTCGTAATTTTAAAGTGGGTTAATGAAGCTCATGGTTTCCATGCATTTATACTCCAAAGCTTTGTTAGAAAATAAATTTTCTTTTGAAATTTGATTTCTAAAAGAAATGTGCTATATTTTTTCAGTTTTTTTATGCAAGTTATCTGATTTGTTTTTCTATCTAACAGTGCGTAGAAATCGTGTTAAACTTGATTTATTGGCGTACGTTAGGTTTGAGGAATTTTATTTGAAACTGGTTCAAGTTTATGGCATGGCGTATTGTCTTCCAACAAATTCATAAATCCAACAATTGTTTTTTGAAGTGTCGACTTGTCTACGAAGATACGTAGCGATTGTCACCCGAAATTAGAGAGTGTGGTTTTTTCTGGCTGAATTTTCGAAAAAAAAGTAAATAAATTTTTGTGTTTTTTTATTTCCTTTACTGGCATTGTTGTCTTTTTTGTTGTTGTCTTTTTTGTTGTGATCTAGCTCTCCTCACGTTGCGCATTAAGTTCATGTTTGATCTAATTGTTATTTTCATAAGTTTCCAATGTTTTTTTTCTTGATTTTCTGCTAGATTTTTCGTGGAGTTGAAATTTTAGCTTTCTTTTTTATAGTTTTTTCCAATGATTTTCTTTCATTTTGATATTAGTTGATAGCTAATGCTCCTGTTGATGTTTATAGCCAATTGATTTGCTAATTTTTAGGTTTCTGTAGGTTTTTTGGGTTCAATTTTCAAATAATGTTTTTGAGTACATTTAAGAACTTTCGAATTTCGATTTTTTGTGTTTCCATCAAATTGTTATGGGAAAAAATGAACAGAGTTGTAGCTCTAATCCTGCTTAGTTTTTAGGTAATTGGTTTTCCTAAGTTTTTTGAGAGCAAGTGTCTTGTAATCAGGAACTAGATTTTCTAACACATTTTAAAGAAATTGTGAAGTTGAATCTTAGTGAACCTCAGCATTTTTGAGACTGCTTGCCACTTAGCACAGAGATAACGCGGTTGCCTTTGTCCCTTGGGAAAAATTGAACTATCGGACTTTCGTTTGTCTGCTTTTATTTTAACTGCTTAGTTGCTACATCGGGGATATTCATGGTGCTGTCAGCAGTTTTTATCGTAGATGCGAGTGTTTTGATTCACTTCTGTAATATGTAAAATTATTGGCCTTGACGTTTTCCTCTTCGTTTTTTTTGCTAAAAACGCTGATAAATTCTCGGCTGGGTAGTTATCGAAAAAAAGTAAAAAGGTTTCAAAAAAGAACAGGAAATCAAAACATTGACGTATCTGAGGGCTCTTAAATTTTTAAAAGAAAATTTGGATGTTGAACAGGGAAGTTTTTCAGGACATTTTTTTCGATTGAACCTTAAATTTTGCCTTAAGCAGGGTATTTTTTGAGAAAAGTCTATAATTTGAAAAAATGGTCAAAACGGACTTTTATGAGGGTCTTAACTTGAATTTCGTGTAACAAAATTTGTCCATAGCTGGTTATGCAGGAGACCTTCTTACAACTCGTCTTTTCGATTGAATTCAAAGTCTCAGATTTGGTTGGGTAGTTTTCGAGAAAAGTCAAGTTTCAAAAAACGGGTCAACAAATCGAAACCTTGACTTTTCCGAGGGTAATAACTTTTTGTGTAAACTTTTTTTAGCCGTTTCTGCTGATGCAGGAGAGCTTCTCACTGCCTTTTTTTGGATTGAACCCAATATCTCAGATTCAGGAGGGTAGTTTCCGAGGAAAGTCAAATAATTTGAAAAAATGATCAAAAAATCATAAACTTGACTTTTCCGAGGACCGTAACTTTTTGTGGAAAATGGGGGACTTACAGGAAAGCTTCTGAGCAACCATTTTTTTAAATGAAGACAAAATCTCGGGTTCAGGTGGTAGTTTTCGAGGAAAGTCAAAAATTTTCAAAAAACGATCAAAACATTTAAAAAAAAGATTTTCGAGCGCCATATGCGGAAAAAAATTGGGCTCAACCGATTATGCAAGGCAGCTTCTTAAACTCGATTTTACGATTTATTTCCAAATCTTAGATTTGAGAGGGTAGTTTTCGAGAAAAGTCAATAACTTCTCGTGTAAGTAAATTTGGTCCTAGCCCTTTTTCTTGGGGATCTTCTCACAACCTTTCTTTTCCATTGAACCCAAAATTTCAGATTCGAGGGGGTAGTTTTTGAGAAAAATCAAAAAGTTTCAAAAAACCGAAAATTTGCATTTTCTGAGTGCTATGAATTTGTGTATAAAAAATTTGGGCGTAGCCGATAATATAGGGGAGCTTCGCACATCCACCTCTTTCGAACGGAATCAAGATCTCAGATTTGGCAATGTAGTTTTCGAAAAAAGAAGTAAAAAAATCAAAAAGATGGATCAAAAATTTCGCCCCACACACATTTTCGAAGGCTGTAGAAAGAGGATAGGTTAAAAGAGATTAAAAGATTATTCAGGCACACAGGGGAGTGGGCGGTCTTTTCAGTGGTACCACTTTTTCGAAAATCAGCAACGCGAAAATCAGAAACGCTAAAATTTAAACGCATAATAAATTTACGTTCAGTTCAGGTAATTAATTCAAGTTCAGTTCAATTCATCATGAACTTAAAGGTTCATCTAGGGCTCGAAAAATTTAGGTGTTTTTGGACTCAAAAATCAGGATTATAAGGATGCTGTTTTTCGAAGTATTATTTTTTAAATTGCAGATGCAATGTTGATGAAAGTGAGCAGTCGTAATTTCGATCACCGTTTGACTCGACTGCTACTTGACAATTTGAACAAAATAGACTTGCATTTCACGAGGACAACTATCAGTTATATCTCGATTGTTGGCAGACGATATGATCCCAGGCATGGACCCTCGATCTACAAAAATAAAGACGAAGACAACACACGCCTGGAGGGATCTGATTTTAAGAAGCACTACAGGGAAAAGGATGATGTTGAAGTGAAATTCACAGACCGCAGAATTGACAGGCTCAAAAATCCTACCAGGTAGCTATGGAACCCGCAGTTGAAAAGAGATTTATTTCGGATTTTTAAGCGAGACTGGTACCTAACGTCGCTCGCACATTTCACCCCTTTCGACTTGAAAGGCTTATTCTACCAATCACATGGCTTGTATTTAAGCTTTGCGCCGATGATGGCCAGACATTTTCAGAAAAAGTTCGTGTCGCTGGACTGGTACTCACGGAACACATAGTAGCCCGAATTCATTTATTATCTGGAGTGATGTGTGAGGGGCAAAAAATTTTATTAGGGTGAAATTTATGACTACAATTAAGCGGTGATCAGATTAATTTCGATTTTTTCTGCAATGATTTGTGAAGTGAAGTAGCGCTCAATTAAATGTCATTAAACGAAGTTTTCAGGAAAGTCCTACAAATTTGATCGCGCTCTAAGTAATTTTTCGCGTCGTGAAATTTTAATTCCAATTCATTTGTAAATAGAAGGCAAATTAGGCTTTCAAATAACAGAATTGCAAATGGCGCAAAAACCGTGACTGACGCTTCGTTTCAAAAGTAGATTTTACTTTTTTAAAGTTGACCATTCATTCAGTTTGCTTGAATTGGGTTAGTTTTATCAAAATCGATAGTCTCAAAATAGGAAAAAGATTTTTCACAAATGGTTCCATTATATTCTAACCTGTCCAATTCCACCCTATGCCACTCTACCCTGGATTACTATGCCCTTTGTTTCAATCTAACGAATGCTATCACGCAATTCTATTATATAATTAAATAAATTAAAATCTTCCCTACCTCCATGAAGGATCCGACTCAATCAATCACAAGGTTAATCAAGGTATAATGATTTTCTTGATTTCAAACATGACAGAGTATTTGGTGCATGTGACTAAAAAACCATAGCAACGTAAAATTTGCTGTTTCAAAATAGGGGGAGGGGAGTAAGGAAAAAAATAAATATTTTATTTTGGGTCTCACATTTCTCATAAAATCAGCGCTCTGAGACGTCGGGAACCGAGGAAGTGTTTGTTTTCCTGAGAAAGTTAAACTTCTGAAAAATCTATTCTGCAAAGTTTATTTTAAGAATGGTTCAATTGGGCTAGAGAATAGTTACTATTGAGTGTTTGCTTAATCTATGTACAATGTTTATGATTTTTTTTGTTTAGTTTGGATTTTTTATTTGATTAGAGTTGCTGATTATTCTCGCCATGGCCTTGAGAAAAATTTGATCCAGACCATCGAGATTTACTTGCTCGAGAAATTTGTATATGAAAGGATGGCTCCCTCAAAACAAAGCAGTGACACCAATTTTCAATAATTGTAAAGAAGTTGTACAGCAATGGAATTAAAAGCTCGCGACTCCACTTGATAGTTTCCTAAGAAACAGAAAGAAGCTTTTTTCAGCTTTTCACTAATAGTATCGTCAGATCAAAACGGTCAGCGACTTTTAATTTTTTTTCGATCTTATGGGCAAATGCGAGCGCTTTAACCTTATCAACAGTAATAAAGTTTGTTGCCGGAATACCAAGCGACAAGAGTTTCAGTGCCAAGAAACTCCAAGAGTTTCAGTGCTAAGTGTGGCGCGTGGTATAAGCGCATCAGTCCAACTTCTATGATGTGACCGTTGAATGTTTTAATGAATCATGCAACTTTTCAGCTGGGCTGTGGGTTGGTAGGCCGAGAAAGATTTGAGCGCTACCCGTTTGAAGTCATCATTAAAACGTATGGCTCGAATTTATGAGATTGTTCTGACGAACCGTGTTTTGGGGAGCAGAGTATAGACGGAGCGTTGTTAGAAACCATCTATCTGTATATGGACTTAATAGATTTGGTTAAACTACACTGGCCTGATTTTAGTTTTTTTTGCTGAAGTAAATAATTCACATTTCGAAGAGCAAATGGCTAGTTTTATCGATGTTTTCCCCATGGGGTAAAATTTAAAGCAAAATTACGATTATGTTGTGTTAATTTAAGCGCGGACAAGTATCATTTCCACTACTTCCAGTCGAGGAGGTTTGCGAGGAGCGTGTTTGCGAAGCACGGAATGGCCAGTGGAGTGAATCCCTCAATCTGTTTCCCTGACAAGCAAGAGATGAACCAGCTGAAGCAATTGCTCGATGTGAGTTTTTAATTTTTTTAGGTGAATGAAATCATAGCTGGCTTTTTTCAATATTTTTTGGGGTCTCCCCAGCCCCTCACAAAGTCGACCCTGGCCATGCAAAAGGGCCCTCTCTTACTATTTTGCAACCAGCATTTTTGGTGGACATATCCAAGAACTTCTTCGAAGGCGCTTTGGGCACCAATATGACTAATTTTTACATGAAAGCGCGCGAAAAGGGTAAAAATCAGGCTAAAAAACCGTTTGCTATGAAACAGTCCAAAAAGGCTCAAAAACAACAATTTTTTCGGTTTCTCTTGATTTTTTATACACTTTTCCAGCCTTATATTGGCTTTGTTAATTACTCCGAATTTTTTGTGTATTCGTGCATATATCAAAAAACCGTTAATATCAAGAGCCTGTTGCTAATATATCAAGACTTAGAGTGCTGATTAATCAGAAAACTATATGACAAAAAATTTCATTATGGTGATAGTATTCGAGTAATCTTTCAAAAGACGACATCTTTTTTTCTAGCAAGAAAGGCCCATCAGTGAAATGCTGGCAGAAATCAAAGCGGAAAAAGAAGAGTTTCAAAAGCAAAACAACGAACGCGAGGAAAAGATCCAGTCTACATTAGCCAAGATGCCAGAAATGGTGAGAGACTGGATGGAAACGAAGGCACAAGAAAAGAGAAGAGAGGTGCAAATAAAAGAGAAAAAGGCTCAATATTTAGCGAGGATTAGACAATTACAAGGAACTGGCGGGTCCCCTAGTGTTACGGATCAAGGAGCTATTTTGTCTGTACTTGTTGAGGAGGATTTGCAAAGGGAAAAGGGAATTGACCCTGAAAAGAAACAGAAACATAAATTGGCGAAGAAACTAGCGGCTAAAAGTAAAACAAAATCAGAGAGCACAAAAGGAAGTGTAAGTGCAGATACGACCGACGCGAGCTCAACTGAGGTCGCTAGTGATTTAGAAGAAAAGATAAACGAATCAAATACGAAATCTGAAACAGCCTAAATGGTCAATTAATTTTGCTCGAATTCTAGTTTTGACGATGTCATGTTGTATTTCTAATTGCGGAAAAAATAATAACGCTTGCGATTAATAAGGTTTATAAAACAAAACCTGTATCCAGACTTTTTTCGGGTTGAATAGTTTAACAGAATCACTTAAATCATTTTACCCTTGGTTCATATGAAATCAAACGTCAGAAGTTAATTCGCGCTTCTGGCGAAGAGCTAAGGCACTTGCCTATAAAGACAAAAGTCATTAGTTCTAATCCGACAGAGACCCGCTTTTTTGTTAGCGGAAAATTGTCCGCGAGTCAAAAATTATTTGTCGGGCTTCTGTTTGTCAGCTAATTTTTTTTGGACTTTTGTGTCTGTTAATTTTTGTCGGCTTAGGTCCCGCCGAAAGTTCGACTTCTTGTCATCCTTTTGAAAGTTTTTTGTAAAATTTCTACTTTCTGAAGATAATTTTGCTGCAGGAATTTTCTACCTTTGCAATTTCTATAAAAATTTTTAAATAGTATTTTTATATGATGGTAATCATGGTCATTCATTGTTGTATCGCAAGTGATGCGAAGCTCCCTTTTGCCTCTGTGTAGAAAAATGCAGCTGGCTAGTTTTTCTTCGAAAGCAATCTTATTTGCAGTACGTGGAAGAAAATAAACGAGAGGTGGAACAAAATAAGACTTCATTTATTTTGAATCTTTTCAGATGGAAAATGAACTGATCTAAAACTGTTGGTCTTCAAATTCAACTATGTCAAATACAATTTCAACGGTTGTTTTAAGACGCTTTTCAGCGTTACAGGTTAGTCTTTTGGGCCTCGACCCTTCGACTGAAGGCGCTGAAAATCCTTCTAATTTTCGTGACTCTGGGGGTCAAAAATCCTATACATGTGTTCACTTGCATCAGTCCTTCCAATATTTATAAACATTTTTTGATTTATCTCTGTTTGATATGTGTTCGTTTTTAGGGTGTTTGGCGAAATGGGAAAAGCTTTAAACCGAATTCTACAGCTGCGTCGGGGACTAAACGAGTAGCATCACCTGGGAAAGCAGCTTTTTTTCTTCGATCTTCGTCCACTTCTTCGTCTTCTGCTGGCAAAATAGTCTCGGATGAGAAGCCGAATTTTGAGGGAATCGGGGAGAGCGAGTGGACTTACAAGTTGAATCTGATAGGCAAGGAGTGGGCCAAGAGTATCCCTGTGTACAGAGTATTGGGAGTGGATGGGGATATCAAGGAGGAGTCTGAGATTCCAAAGGTAGGTGGATTTAATATCAGTGTTCTCTAATTTTTTTTTATTTTCACAAATTGAGCTAAGACTTTTTCAGTTGAGTGAGAGTGAGGTGGTGGAAATGTACAAGACAATGGTGACGATTAACCAGATGGACAGGGTGCTGTATGACTCACAGAGACAGGGCCGTATCTCGTTCTACATGACCAGCTATGGGGAGGAGGCCACCCACGTGGGCAGTGCAGCCGCCCTCAACCTCGATGACGTCATATACGCTCAGTATAGGGAAGTGGGTGAGTAGAGTATACGGGATGCCACTTATCAAGAAAAAGTTATCGATAGTGTAAAATTCAGATACACAGTATAGAATTGCAATACATAAGTTAGTCGAAGACAATGAGTTAGAGGTCAACCAAAGGTGACAGCCAACTCCGAAGGTTTAACGCCAGTCAGCGCCAGAACTAAGACAGATTGATTGATCGCATTGAAACTAGAAGAATAGAACTGAAATGGACTGTGAACTAGTTTAATCACTATAACATTCCACTTCTTTTGAAATGGAATGAAAATGAAAAATTAAAGTACTAAAGGAAATTTAGAAATAATGACTAGAGTTTTTAGCTGAAGTTTGAGTTTTTTAATAATTGACAATGGTATAACCGAAATTTTGAGGTTTTGACTGCTCTACGGTCTGCCCTCTCCCTGGACTACTGCTTTTGAAAGTTTTGAAACACGGCTTTTGGTTAGGCCTTTTTAGCCCATTCTTTACCTTGTTTTCTCCTCCGGGTGTTTAGATGTTGTTTACTATAACTGCTCCCATCTTGCTCACCGCCGTTCGCTTTCTCCCGCTTCGCCTTGATGCCGTTTCAAGACCGCGGATTCCTGACTTGAATAAAACACCTATCTTTGCTTCTTAGCTCGTTTTTGCGTCTGCGTTCGGAATCGCCGCGGATACTCCCGATACTGTTGTCGCATTCCCCGTTCCTTTCTTCTTGCGTTCTTCCGCCTTCCTTTCGTTCGCTTACTCGGTCGCCGTTTCTTAGTAGCTTGGTCGAACTCTTTTGGCCTCGTTGGCCGTTCCGGTATCTGATCGCTTGCTCTCCCGCTTTCGTATTAAGTCTGCTAGCTTGATCCACCGGATGGTCGCTGCTTGCTCTTCTGTCCACATGTGAGATTGTTTCGGGGGCTCTTATGGTCTCCCGTTTAGGCGTTCTCTTCGCTGATAACGGTATATCGTCATCGGATTCAGATTGATCTTCGTGATCAATTCTTCTACCCGATCTCGTTGGGTAGCTGCTGCTCGGAGCCGTATTTTGGGTTTTCGGGCTCGTCCGTTTTTCAGCCTTAATCTTAGGTCTTTCTTCCTGTGGTGTAGGTGAAGCATTTATGGCTCCGGGGATCTTTTCTTAGGGGGTCGTGATTTTCCGCAGCGCCACTCCCGATTTCCTAAGAAACTTTGACTCATTTTAACCGTATGCGCACTGCGCGCCTCTTTTGCTGACTTTAATAATGTAATATAGCTGTTCAGGTTTCGCCCGACTTTTGCAAAAATAATCTCCGCTGGCAATGTTGACGCTGATGGTCCCGCTTTTTTCATGAACGACGGCTCTACCTCCTGCTTACTCGGCTGCTCTTCCACCAGTCGTGCTGGATGGTACTTTTTCCTGGTATCGTTGTCAGTATCAGATCTGATCCCCCAGTTAGTGTCTGCCGGGTGCGGCATTCTTGGCGTGACTGGGTCTCGTTCATCTAAACAAGCATATTTTGAACGTATTACTTTAGATCAATTTAGGTTATTCAGTATTGCTTTAATTGTGAGGGTTCTAAGCACCCTATTTGCCTCCCGAACACGATGAGCCTCGAATGGTGTTTTCAAGACTAGCGTTATTTGAAAATCTTAGAGCTGCGATGGCCCTTTCGAGCATCTTCTCCAAGGGTTCAGATTTTTCTTTTCGAGCGTAAGTTAGTACTGAGTTCTTCAGGATGCCGATTGTTCGGTCGATGCACCCCGTTGCTCGGTGATTATTCACCCGTGATTGAAGTATCTCGAGTCCTTCCCCATTACAAAAACGTTAAACATTGGATCTTTGGACTTGAAATTTGTCGCTTGGTCGACATGAATTCGTCGGGGTAGGCCGTTGGTGCTAATGTATGTTTTCAGGAACTTAAGAAATTTGTCAGACCGATTTGAACTACATACCATGGCCGAAGGTCATCTCGAAAAACGGTCGACCGCTACAAGAACATACTTTTTAGACTCATATAGGTAATTGATTGCCCCCCAGAAATCTAGATGTACCGGTTCATTCGGTTCTCTTGGTTCGTGTATTTTTTCCACGCTCCCATTGCAGCACATATTTTTCAAGTACTCACCAGCTAGGGTGCACTCTCGAAAATTATCTGCTGTTTATGCTATATTGCGGTAAATGTACTGTACCAGATATCTTTGGCGGTCTCATACATGTTGCACTTCCCGTGATGGTAGAATGTAATCTATTGTTCACAGCTGCGTGTAACGAATTCGGAATCACCAACTTTTTTGTCCATCCAGAGGCATCTATTTCTCAGGTGAAAGTCTTGAGTGTACTGAGAGTAAATAGTCCAGCGGGCCTTGGTTTTTGACTGGATATTATTATTGTTGAAAAAACAATTTTTCCACAAGGGAAGGGCATGAAAACCGTTTTTGTAACCCTGGTTAAAAATTGAATCCATTTTTTGGCTATTTTTCCGGGCTGGGTAATGTTGCCTCACCCTCAAGCAAAGAGCGCCGATCGTGTTGGGTCTCGAACATCCGATTTTTCGATTGAGAGGCGGAGACCTCACCACTTCACCGCCGCTTTCCTTTGTATCCCCTTCATTCTGGGTCAATATGAGTTCGTTCCTTCAAAAAACGAGTTTCTCTTAAACTGATTTTGTCTGTTTTTTTGTGCTCACGGATTCCAGGTTGTTATTGTTTAAGGCGTGTTGTTGTGGCGTGGCTATTCATTGGAGAGTGCGATGAACCAGTGCTTTGGCAACTGCATGGACCCTGGGAAGGGGAAGCAGATGCCAGTGCACTACGGGGCCCCAGAGCTCAACTTTGTCACCATCTCCTCCACACTTGCCACCCAGATGCCACAGGGTTAGTTTTGATTTGTAAAATACTTTAAAAACGGATTGATTATGTTGAGGCAAATAAGTGTTACGTTTCATGGAATTCGATATTGAGTATAATTTTGTTAAACAGAAGTATAATTTTGTCAAAGCGAAGAATTTAGTTTGTTGAGGATTTTTGTAACCTTTTTGATAGTTCAGAACAAAATTCCACGATATGAATGCAATTGGAAAGTAGAGATAAAATAGCAAGTATTGATTTGCTTTGGTTTTAGTAAGTTTTGTATAATCATAGAAGCGATTTCAGCCGTGGGTCACGCGTATGCCCTCAAACAAAAGGCACCCGGTACCATTGTCACGTGTTATTTCGGGGAGGGGTCGACGAGTGAGGGCGACGCACATGCTGCATTCAATTTTGCCAGCATCCTCAAGTGTCCAGTGATATTCTTCTGTCGCAATAATGGCTATGCAATTTCGACTCCGACCAAGGACCAGTATGCGGGCGATGGGGTTGCATGTAGAGGAGCGGGTTACGGGATGCCAGTGATAAGAGTAGATGGCAATGACATATTTGCAGTCTACAATGCGACTGCGGCCGCCAAGCGACTCTGTATTTCAGACAACACGCCGGTGCTAATAGAAGCAATGACTTACAGGTTAGCTTTCCTTTGTATTCATGCTGATCTAATCGTTTGATTATAGTTCCCTCTCTTGCGGTGTTTGTCTATTATTGTTGATTCTGATTTTTTTTGTCGGTGGGAACTTCACTGAGTTTTAGAAGCTCAAAGTGTGGTCATCTTACAAATTACAGAAACGTTTTTCTCATGTTATTTGCGGTGAAAAAAGACAAACGACGGTAAATTACTATTGTTTTTTGATGGCTTATTATCTAATTCTCTAGTTCGTTTTTGATTGGATCATTTGAATGAATGAGAATCATTCATGTACTTGCAGAGTGGGTCACCATTCGACTAGTGACGACTGGACAGCATACAGATCTACGGAGGAGGTGTCCTACTGGAACGAGATAGATCACCCCATCTACCGGCTGAGGAAGTACATGGACTCAAAGGGAATGTGGGACGATCAACAGGAGGAACAGTTCGTCAAAGCCCTCCGACAGAAGGTACGTCACATTAATCATAACAAATTGTTTTCAGCTATTTGTCTTTATTAGCAAAGTATTCTGCGCGCGAAAGAAAACACCATATTCTCGTCAAATATTAGAGATTGTTTCACGTCAAAAGGGTTTAATCTAATCAATTAAATGTGATTTTTTTCTAAAGTTATAGATAATATCGAGATACACTCTGCAAGGTATACTCTTAGTTATCAGCTAAGGTGGTGCATTTTGAATTATATTTTGATTTATTGACAGATTTTTGCTACTTCGGCAGTGATTTTCATTGATTGAAATTAAAGTTTTGTTGTCAGATCATGCAATCATTCCGCAAAGCAGAATCTTTCAAGAAGCCAGATCCCCTTGAAACTCTAGGAGACGTTTATGCAGAGAAAACGAAATCTCTGAAAGAGGAAACGGAAAAACTCAGAAATCACTTGAAGAATTACGGAGACAAATATAACTTGGATCAGTTTGAACCAATTGGAAGCAGTAATCCGCAATAATCTGACAAACCTTATTCTTTAGTTGTTTATTTAGTTATTTATTTTATCAAGATCTACATGATAGGTACTCTAGTTACTAAATTATTCCGCTTTTTGCAGATTCAAATTTGTACCCCTTAATTTTTTGAAAAGCTCGCAAATGTAAAATGCAAATGATTTTACGAGAAGTCATCAAATCAGCAAAGTTATTGGCTCTGGATTAGAAAATCAAAGTAACCCAAACGATTTCAGGCCAAAGTTATGATCTAAGGAGCAGTTTTAATAATGAAGGAAGCATAAGTTCTGCTTTAACCATGGAGTTGCCACAGGTTGGTAATTTTTGTGCTATTTGCGGGTCATTAGATTTCGTGCCTTTCACGTGCCCTCATTGCGAAAAGCAGCTATGCGGTGACCATGCTTCAATGCCCAAACACAACTGTGAAAAGTTCACCCCAGAAATTACTGCAGATGAGAACTCCAGTATGGTACCGGTGGTTCAGTGTTCATTTTGTTCCAAGAAGGAGAATTTTGAAATAAAATGCAACGAATGTGGCTTTCCATTTTGCGTCTCACATCGTCACGCAGAAAGTCATTCTTGCAAAGTCTTAGAATTTAGAAACAGACTGCAAAACAAATCAAAAACTGGTACGTCATTGTCTTCAAAAAGTGAAAATAAAATTGAGTCCAAGATTGAAAAAGTTCCAGCAAAAGTACCCAAAAGTGCTAAAAATGAAGCTTTGGCAAAGAAAATTGCTTTGATGAAGTTGAAACAAACTGCGAGAGGTGACACAAAAGTAGCTGCCGAAGAAAGATTGTATTTCAATGTGGTTCTTCCAAATGGACAAACTGAACCTTTCTTTTTCAATAGAAGACTTCAGATCGGGAGAATAATTGACATTCTTTGCTTGAAGTTTTCTCTGCAGCTGAAGAATAGTGATAATCAGAAGTTAGGAATATTGGATTCTGAGAAAAATTGTGTAATTGATCCTTCTAGTGAACTATCTGAACACGAGCACTTGAATTGCTGTAATTTAGAATTAAAATATTTTGCAGTTTAAGTGTAATTGTAAAAAGATTTTTAGTTATTGTGTTTGAAAAACTTTCGGTCACCTCAGTTGAAAACTCATTTTTTTAATATGCAACTATGCGAGTGCTTCTTTGCGAGGATAGTTCATCGCCATAATTATGAGGATAATTCAGGGAGATCAGAGACAAACGAGCATTTGAGCGTTTTGCGGCAAGCCTCCATTTTTCCTCTTGATCCTTTTGTGCATTTATTTTTTCTATTGGTCAGGTTCTACCAAAATGGTTCTTCGTTTTAATGGAGAGCACTAACTTATATCTCCGATTTCGTAAAATTTTTTCGGAGATTAAGGCTTTAAATCAAAGACAAAAATCAGTTATACGAATCTACCTGCACAAGCGGCTATGCCCTGCGTTTTGAAAAAAAAATGTGGCCTAAGAAATGTATTTATTTTTTCAAAATGTATGTGCTGATTCTCAGTGTCATAGTTCATTAAAACTAACAAGATACTTGGATTTTTCTGCGTACTCTGTTTTACCCTGTTTTTTTTTTGTTGAGAGGTTGATACGGACTTAAAAGATATTAAGGTTAAATCTAAAAAACAGGGTGCGAAAGTCTTCAATCCAAAAATCAGGGTGTGGAAAGTAGAGGCTACTCTCATGGTTAAGTTGAGAAAAGTTTTTGGATTTAGGAAAAGTCAAATTTTTGAGCCTTTGATCGATTTGTGGAATTTTCTTGTTTTTTTTTCGAAAACTACCCGTCGAATCTAAAGTAAGACTTCAACTGAAAGAGCGAGTTGTAGGCAGTGGATTTAATATTTCAGGTTTCCCAGCAAAAAAAAAGCCCATAAGAATTAGTTCTCGAAATTCAAAGAACTTAAAGGTGATACTTTTTTCACTTTGAAGTTTGAGATTCTTGTCCCACTGTTTGCTGGCTATGTTTATTGAATGTGAATGAAAGAAGTCAAGATATCTTTGTAGTTCCTCTAAATTTGTTCACGCATAAATTCGATGTTAATTAATGATCAATTCAAAGTGTTATTTGTCGAATAAAAGAAATAGGTTCTCGGATAGGAATAATGCAAACAACGCGAAAGAGGTTTTTTTTAAAAGGAATTTTATTTTTTAGATTTTTCAGCGGAAAAAAATTGTTTTTCAAACTGAAATATTACTGTATCCACTTTTTTTCTCTAGTGAAATATTACGGTATCCACGTTTTTTCTAAACTAAGGCTCAAATAAAAGTGCGAAATTATTTTGTGGCCGTTCTGCATTATTATATCTGATTTAATTTTGCTGCATAGCATTATATCTTTCATATCTGATTTATTGGTGGTTTGTTCCAATTTGATAAGAAAAATGGTCCGATGAAAATATATGGGATTTGGTTTTGTTATCATTTTTTCAAACATAGTCTTAATAAAGGCCAAGGGATTTTTTTTGCTCTTCCTGTTTAGAGAGCTCCATGCATAAACGTCTACGCTTAAGTTTTTTGTAGAAAAGAAGTTATGGTCATAAAAACTGTCCAAGTTGGAAAGTTTTACTGATATTTCTAATGAGTTTTTTTTTCAAATTACTCTGCTCAATATAAATTGTGCGAACTACTTTCTGTGCTTGCGGATTCGATCTATCTTTTTGAACAAACAATACTTATGGCCAAAGAGAAGGTTCAAGTTTGAAATTTCACCGTTTTTGTGGAAAATTTTGGACTTTTCTTGGAAACTACATTGCCAACACGTGTAGTAGATTTTTTTCTCTTCAGAAGCAGCTACCTGCTAAATTTTTGTTGAAATTAATTTTGGCTTGGAAAAAGTCAGTTTTTAGAAGTCGATCAATGCAGCTCAGACTTATATATAGATCATTATCATATTTTTTTTGTTTTCAGGAAAAGTCCTAAATTTTGTTCATGCTCTAATTTACCTTTTGCGCAGTTTGGCTTTTAATTGTTTTTTAAGTTTAGCTCATTTCCTTTGTTAAAAGGAAGGCAAACTACGCTATGAAACAAAAACAGTGTGAAGGTAAAAAACATGATCGACTAGTTGATTTAATTTCCTGTTATTTGAATATTCTGTCTGCTAAAATTAATTTTTAAGCATTTAAAGTTACCATTTGAATCTGGTTTTCAAGGCCGAATTTTTTGCCTTTCTGCTTTTTTATTTTTATGAGCTCTATTTAGCCGTTTTTTTTTCGCGTCTAAGGAAAATGAAGCTTAGTCTCTGTTAAACATGTAGTTTCATTCATTGGAAGAGGCAGCAATTTTTCAGATCAAAGTTTTTCTTCTGCCATCGTAATTTTTGCCTCATTTGAAATACTCCGAAAATAATTCAGAGTCATCAAAACGTTTCCAGAATGCTATAGCATTTGTTACAACAATAAATATATTTTCGATCAACTTAACTTTTAGAAAAAAGAATTTGGAAAAAAGCCTTACTGAATTCAGAAAAAGTCCATAATTTGAAATATTGACCGTGTTCTTTGGAAATTTGGTGGATTTTCGAGAGGTACACTGCAAAACCTAAAATTAAGGGTTTATTTCAAAGTAATTTTAGCCTCCTCTGAAAAAGCGAGTAGAATAAGCTTAGAGCTAATTCCGTTCTGAGTAGAAAAACCACTATGCTCTTTTGCAAAGTTCTTTTTTCGAATTTTTGAAAGTCACGCTTTTCCTTCGAATCATTACGATATACTATTGAATTCTGATATCAAGTAATTAATTAAAGATGTTTTAATTATTCAGAAATGTTTTCATCTCATCTGCTAAAAGCGTGTTCTCCGCAATTTTGATAGGTATTAGCTATGGACTTGGTAAATGGCCAAGTCACGACATTTTGACACTTTGAAAATTACGCATTACCGTTCACATCAAGTTCATTTTTACAATAGCCAACTTGCGAGCCTTAGTGTAATAGTACAGACCTTCTCGTTTTCTAATCTAATTCGCAAATAAAATTGTTCATTCATTTGGTGGCCCTTTTGATGTAATGACGATCTGTAGCATAGGCAGTTTCATAGTATCTATTATCTGCCTCATTTATAGCTAGTGTTTGTAATTTATTGAGAGTCCGGGGCTGAGTGGTTAGTGCATGAGAATCATAATCTCTAGGTCGCAGATCGAATCTCAGACGTAGCGGAACGCAAACTATTACGAATCTTTTTTCTAATTTTTCTTTTTGCACTTCATAGAAGTGCTTTTGTCGTGTTCTCACTAGTGTTTGCGAAGCGCAGCTTCGTTTCTGTGTAAAAAATTATTGTCAAACAGGTACCTCCAGCTTAAGTGGGGCCTTTAATTTTAAACAACTGCTGAGCGACCATTGCGCAAACGACAAGACGTGATTATGAGTGTACGATTCCGGCACGTTTTAGAGTACCTTTTTCCTTTTTCACTTTTTGGCCTTTTTAAAGCTATTTTGCTTTTTTCTACTGATATGAACCAAATGGAAATGAGGCTACCTAGTTGATTTAATTTCCTGTTATTTGAATATTCTGTCTGCTAAAATTAATTTTTAAGCATTTAAAGTTACCATTTGAATCTGGTTTTCAAGGCCGAATTTTTTGCCTTTCTGCTTTTTTATTTTTATGAGCTCTATTTAGCCGTTTTTTTTTCGCGTCTAAGGAAAATGAAGCTTAGTCTCTGTTAAACATGTAGTTTCAATCATTGGAAGAGGCAGCAATTTTTCAGATCAAAGTTTTTCTTTTGCCATCGTAATTTTTGCCTCATTTGAAATACTCCGAAAATAATTCAGAGTCATCAAAACGTTTCCAGAATGCTATAGCATTTGTTACAACAATAAATATATTTTCGATCAACTTAACTTTTAGAAAAAAGAATTTGGAAAAAAGCCTTACTGAATTTAGAAAAAGTCCATAATTTGAAATATTGACCGTGTTCTTTGGAAATTTGGTGGATTTTCGAGAGGTACACTGCAAAACCTAAAATTAAGGGTTTATTTCAAAGTAATTTTAGCCTCCTCTGAAAAAGCGAGTAGAATAAGCTTAGAGCTAATTCCGTTCTGAGTAGAAAAACCACTATGCTCTTTTGCAAAGTTCTTTTTTCGAATTTTTGAAAGTCACGCTTTTCCTTCGAATCATTACGATATACTATTGAATTCTGATATCAAGTAATTAATTAAAGATGTTTTAATTATTCAGAAATGTTTTCATCTCATCTGCTAAAAGCGTGTTCTCCGCAATTTTGATAGGTATTAGCTATGGACTTGGTAAATGGCCAAGTCACGACATTTTGACACTTTGAAAATTACGCATTACCGTTCACATCAAGTTCATTTTTACAATAGCCAACTTGCGAGCCTTAGTGTAATAGTACAGACCTTCTCGTTTTCTAATCTAATTCGCAAATAAAATTGTTCATTCATTTGGTGGCCCTTTTGATGTAATGACGATCTGTAGCATAGGCAGTTTCATAGTATCTATTATCTGCCTCATTTATAGCTAGTGTTTGTAATTTATTGAGAGTCCGGGGCTGAGTGGTTAGTGCATGAGAATCATAATCTCTAGGTCGCAGATCGAATCTCAGACGTAGCGGAACGCAAACTATTACGAATCTTTTTTCTAATTTTTCTTTTTGCACTTCATAGAAGTGCTTTTGTCGTGTTCTCACTAGTGTTTGCGAAGCGCAGCTTCGTTTCTGTGTAAAAAATTATTGTCAAACAGGTACCTCCAGCTTAAGTGGGGCCTTTAATTTTAAACAACTGCTGAGCGACCATTGCGCAAACGACAAGACGTGATTATGAGTGTACGATTCCGGCACGTTTTAGAGTACCTTTTTCCTTTTTCACTTTTTGGCCTTTTTAAAGCTATTTTGCTTTTTTCTACTGATATGAACCAAATGGAAATGAGGCTACCTAGTTGATTTAATTTCCTGTTATTTGAATATTCTGTCTGCTAAAATTAATTTTTAAGCATTTAAAGTTACCATTTGAATCTGGTTTTCAAGGCCGAATTTTTTGCCTTTCTGCTTTTTTATTTTTATGAGCTTTATTTAGCCGTTTTTTTTTCGCGTCTAAGGAAAATGAAGCTTAGTCTCTGTTAAACATGTAGTTTCAATCATTGGAAGAGGCAGCAATTTTTCAGATCAAAGTTTTT